ACAATTATACATTATATGTTTTCTATGAACAAACAACTTTCCTCTAAGAAGATAACAGCCGAATATTTTTTTTAAAATTTTACTATACAAATTTCATGTATTTCCTACATAGAGATCCAGGAACATATTGTACACTGTTTCACTGTGGTGGTGGTTTGAGGAGTCATGCTATTTGGAAATGTACAAGCCTCTGAAAATAATCCACAGAGTTTTAAGAAATGATCTATTATATACCATTTGGGGTAAGAAAATATGCATTTTCTGATTACTGTTCCAAAAATTTCACTAAGTTTAAGATATATGACATTCAGAAACCTGTATCCAATTTTTATGGAACTTTTTCTCAAAGAATGATATAAACAAGAAAAAAAAAATTTGTGATGCTTTCCTTTGCCCAAAAGAGGTAGGAGATCCTGTATTCTTACTAGAAAAGTCTATCAACACTGGGATCTCATTTTGCCTGCCCAGGGGCTGATAACACATATTAAAGAAAACATTTTCATCCCAGTTATCATGACATAAATTTGTATTAAATATCTTCCTGCTGATACACTTAGTAATAAATAAATTTTGGCCAGTAAAATTCAGATAGAATCAATTTCGTTTGAATGACAAATCCACTTCTTAAAACACTCTGGTTCCATGCTTGCCCTTTCCTGAAAGCCTAACATTGAATCCACTGTCTCTAGCAGTACCCCACAACTAGGTAAGACTCAGCCCCTAACAACCTCTTGCTGAGTCTTGAGAACTGTTTTGCTTAGGAGGGAAAAGAGCGTAACAGAAACACATATGCTCAACTCTCCTAAAGTAAGGGGCCAGTATTTGCTTGCTTCAACGGCCAGGACAACTAAAAAATTTAAAATTACCTAGAGGACATAAGTACCACATTCAGCTCCCACTTCCTTCCTCCATGAACCACACTCTGAAGTGTAAACGGTTAATTGCCCAAATATTTCATTCCAAGGCACGTTCAGCCTGAGCTTGTAGTAATCCTTCCTTATGAAAACAGTTTTCAAGAGCCAGGGTAATTTGAAACAGGCTACTGAGAGAAAGTCTCCCTTGAAATGCTCCCTTCAGTGCCCATGGGTGGTCGGAGTATTCTCTCTCTGTCTTTTGCATTAGTCACACAGGTCAGATGCTTGAATCTCCAATTAATTAGGTTGTCCAATAGCCTGTGTGAAATGAATGAGTGATCGCCAACCAGTTCACTTAGAACTCATCATGACAGCTGGCACATTGTCGGTATCTGTCAGCAAAGTGGTGGGGAAAAAGTAAATGACCCATGTGGGCAAAATGGGCTCTGATCAGGGCCATGGGACAAACAAGCACTCTCTACCTAGTGAGGAATAGAATGCTTGAGAGTCTGCCAGCATTGTTTGTAAGGGAAAGTAAATTTAATATGGATATAAAGCTCATAAACTTGTGATATGAACCTCTAAGAATCCACTTATTTAACTTTTCTAATATTCCAAATTTATAAATGTTAGCTTATCACTGGAATATTTTTACAAGACTTAATAATATAATGATCAATATTTACAAATTTTATACAAACAGATGACTCTAGGAGCAAAATGTAATTCCCACTTATTTTATCCTGCAAGGAAGTATGAAATTATCCTATGTTAGAATTATGTTTTGACCATTTTCCATTATTCAAAATACCTCTGGGGTTTTCTCATTAAGCATACCTCAAATCACCAAATATGGTTTTTCAAAAATATGAAGGGTTAAGTACTTTACTCAAATCATAAATTTTCACACCAATGTACTTACATATGACAGGTATTCATAGAGAAAGTCAGATCTTATTAAAACTTTCCCAAATGCATTTGTTTTATGTGAAAACTAGTTATATAAAAGCAGACGAGATGTGGGAATTCCAGCCAGCTGGGTGGCAGGAAAACATAAATCCATGTGAATTTTTAAGTAAAATGAAAATTTCATACTATTTTTTTGTTAATGCCTTCATCAAATGCATAAAGATTAAGTGAAGTAAATTACTGCCAATAGTTCCTTTGGAGGAGTTAAAGGGATTTAAAAACCAATGAAATTTAAAAAAAAATTCTGATAATTTTTATTGTTCCGTTGTAATACATTTTTTATGTGACAGTGCCGATTCTAAACGAGGTGAATAAATTTGAGAGTAAAACTCTGAAAGAGGTTCAACAAATAAGTCTTATTTCCTTCATATATGAACTCCTGAAAATTCAATCTACAAATTTCAGAACTTTTAAGTTTACGTGAACATATATATGCAAAACACATACATATGTACCCTTTCCATACTACATATTAGAGCATGTAAAAGCACAATCTCTAAGAATCTTTCCTGTTTTAAAATTTGACTTTGATCTGCAATCTACTCCTTTTTTCTCCAGCTTGTTGTTTCCAGATAGATTTTGAATCTTTCCTTTGCCTTTCCCAATACTTCAAACACATACATTTTAAAACCTACTCATACAGTTATCTGTAGTACAGAGTATGGCTTTCTCCCCTTCATTGGTTGGGCTCACTGTCTCTCCTGAGCTGAAACTGCCTTGCACACTTCAGAACTGCAGCCCATGAGCCCATTTGGGTATGAATGAACTCTGGGGTAAACGGCCCTGAACTGTGGAAGTGTCTCTATAATAGGGCAGGTGCTTCCAGGACTGCCTGTTCCACACCCTGTAGGATTTGGTTCTCACCAGGTGGTGCACTAAGCTTCTGGGCTCTGAGCATTACAGAGAAGGAATAATCAAGGGGTCTCAATGATGCCCTAAACTCCTGTCCCTGCCATCTTCCTTTATAGAATGTTTGTACCTGCTGGACAGTTAAAACTCCATCCTTAAAGCCTGTAGCTCTTTTGGTTATTATATTGCATAACAAGATTAAAATTGCCTTTTTTTTTTCTGGAAATTCTCTCTTTGTTTTAAACCTCAGGAAATTTTTTCATTCTTGTTTGCAAGCCTAACAGACATTTCATTTCTAGGTATTTGGTCAATATCTCCATATGCTTATCAGAGAATGGCAACTTCCTGCTTCAACTTAGCTTGTCTTAAAGGTCCAGAGATGGAGCTCAAATAACATCTCTGTATTTAATAGCATTGTGTTATATGCATGTACAGATATATGTCTACATGTAGGGGACATAGCCATTGGTGGTGACCGAGACTATTCCAGGTCATAGAGCAAATTTGTTAGATGAGATAGACCAGAGCCTTCCAGACCCAGGACAGGCAGGGCCTGCGCTACGCAGGAAGCAGCTACAGAAGAATTGATGATCTATGCCCTTCAGTATCCCTTTAGATTATGGTCTGGATTCTCTGAGGGGGAATGATAGAGGCAGGTAGGTAGGATAAAATCGATTAGATTTGTGAGCTAGAAGAACATGCCCCCTGTATGATCTCAAGTTCCTACCTGACCCCACCTGTACACCCACCTGCCAATCAGATAACGTAGCCACACTCCGCTTCGGAAGTAAATAAAAGGCCTGGAACATGGTGGGCCCCTCCCTTGTCTCCCCAGGCCTCCGGGGCACATGGCCTATTGGCTTCTGCCCTGCCTTGCTTCCCTGCCTGCATGCTTGCTCCACATGGCTCCAGGCCTGCTCTCTGCATGCTATGGACACAACTTAGCTTCTAGACTTCTTTCCCCCCTAATTAAAGCCCTCTCTTTCCTTTGCATTTCTCTATCTCAATAAAACGATTAAAAACTTAAAAAAAGATATATGTCTAGTTGTCAGTACATTTTCTGCAACATATGAAGGTGCTTATATTATTTAAAACATGTTAGGACATATATATAATAATATCATTTTGCCATGTACTTACATTCACTAAAATAAATTTTGCTTCTCAGATAGTTTGTGGTTTATTTTTTTGAATCTCAAATCCACCAGATAAATTTGTGTCATAATACTAAAAACTACCTACCTCAAATAAATAGGTCCTCAATCATATCAATAGGGAGAGCTTTCTTGAGGGGAACCAAGATATGAGGCCATGTATAGATGAAGTTATATGTTTTTGATTTTACAAAAGGTACAATAGAAACACCTCCTTCAATGTGGGTAAAAGGGTGGAATGGAGAAGAAATATTCATAGTTGATACAAATTGCTCTAGGATTGTTAAGCGCCAATCCCTTTTTTTGTTTCCAGTTTCCTTCTATGCTCCTAAATTCTGGAATTGAGCCAAATGAATCTCAAAGTGTGCGAAAGTAAACAAAAGTATGTGAGGGAGTGAAAAAGGTAAAGGCACAGAAGGATTAGTCTGCAAATGTCGATTGCTAGGTTCCTGGTCAAGCAATGCTCTTACCTCTGCACAAAAGACTGTACAACAGACAGTGAATCCTTAAGCTCCATTCTCTAGCACTGTCATTAATGGAAGCTGGAACAAAAGCACCCTATCCTGGAGATTCGGTAAGTCACCCCATACTTTCTTCCAATTGTGTAAGCAACACAGTTGGACACAGCAGCACATTCCCTGTCTTGTTTCTCTTGAACCAACATAAAAGACTGAAATGAAGATGCATTTTTTGATATAAAGTAGGTGTCATTCTCATTCTTGATTCTGACCACCACTGAATTAGAGCTCATCTTTAGATAGAGGATGTTGTTTTAATTTTGCAAACACCAAGGTCACCTTGGTTGTTTGTATAGTGTAGTGGCTGAAAAAGGTATGAAAATCCATGCCTAAGTAATGCTAACATACAAAATGGTAGCATACCCTGTTTCCTTCACAGATTCTGTCTCCATAATCAAAACAGTATCTGCCACCTGAAATCATCACTTCTTTTGTTTTTCTTTTTCCCTTTCTGATAACATTTCTTCAAGATCCATAAGAAACAAAGCCTGACCCACTGTCTAATTCAAGTGCAATTCTTTTAAACATTTTACTTAAATCCATTTTCCATTCAAGTATCACAGCCATGTTAGTCTTTTCTATGGACATTCAAGAGAACACCTGAGAAACAGAATTCCATCATGATGCAAATATCAACCTCCCACTTGAGCACTTACCACGCAAAACTGTGAGTCTTGTGGATACACTTATTTCTCCCACATTATTTGAGGCCACACATTCATAAATGGCCTCATCCCGTGGAGTCCGTAAGGGCTGTATTCTGAGAACTGATCCAGATCCATCGTCAAACTCTATTACCTATTAGAGGAAACAATAGCTGTCACAGGTGTTGTTACAATTGTCTACCTCTCAGCTAAACCTCTCTGTACAAGGGTGAACCAGCAATTAGGCTCTCCTGGAACTCAGCAACATTCCAAGACTGATTTTTGAAAAAGTGATGAGACTGAATATTTGGCCTAATTTAATGAATCTTATCCTGAACAAAACATGAAACTACATATAGGAAAAGGTAGACTACCAGTCTCTACTGAAAACCAGTGCAAGATATCTCAATATGTGTATCTAGGAAAATTTGACCCTATTCAATCTGTAAGAGATTTACAGCCATGATGGATAAACTCAAATTATTTTGTTTTTGATGGCACATGAGCACATGTGGATTCATTCAGTAATTGGACTGTTGAAGCGAAGAATTAAATGTATGCCACCACAAACAGTTCTGGTTTAAGATGTCTCATCCTGAAGTGTATAGATGAGTGAACCATGAAGGAAAATGGCATAAATCCAGTACTTAAGCAGCCACCAAGACGCTTTCACAACCCAAAAGCCTGATGGCTTGCATTCATTTTGCCATAAATCATTCCAGTATTTGTTCTAGCTTAGCCTTTTCTGCATTTTTAGGGCATTCTTGCTGGAAAATGGAGGCTTGCTTCACCAGGCAGAAAATTAATGTCCCAAACACTAAGCCTAATTCACCATCATTATGAACTCCACTTTGAAACAGTTTAGCAACAAGGCACTTGTCAGTTGATGCAAATACTACCTTAAAAAAGGTGAGGATGAGAAGGATGATATTGAAAAATAGGTTCACCAAATTACAGAATCCTCTATCCTTGTCTGTGCCAACGATGCGTTCTGAGTTGTCAGCTTAGATGCTGTGCTTTATTAATAGTTTTCACATTCCCTGTGAAAATCACTTCCAAGTGCCTAAATTGTGCATAGATCAGTAACAGCTTATCAAAACAGTTGTGGATGCTTAATCCCAGAATTTGTGTGGGATTGTGTATGAATGTTAACACACAGAGAAAAAGTGAATATTTTAAAACTATGTCTACTTCAAGTATTGTATGTATTCCATTTTCTAAATTCATAGATTTAAAAATGCCTCATTTCCCAGTGTGCCATATTTTTACTTGTATTAATCACATATTTAAAAATTAATCTACTATGCATCTTAGAAAAGGTTCACAGTTATTGGAATTTCCACCAATTATTCCATAATCTAAAACTAAATTTATGAGCATCTTATGATTTAAAGCAGAATACTGTTTAAACACCTTTAATAGCAATTTAAATTTGATTAATTATCACTAAACCAAAGTATATGTTTTCTTCCCCAAACTATTTTTTATATTTGGACCTATCCACTTACAACAAACAATATATTATACATTACAAGTTAGTGTTTTAATTTCCACAGCACTACTGTGTATTTAAACTTGTGCTGACCATGGACCAGACGCCACATTCAACATTAGCAATAGAAAGACAAGTAAAACAGTCTTATTTACTGCTCTCACAGGCCTTTCAGATAAGTGAACTCCCCAAATAAATATTATGTAGAAGATGTTAAAGACTTTTAACCTAAGGCTCAATATTGTTCATAGTAGATACATTGTGTAAAAATAATTACCTTTACTGGATGTGTTAAATGACTCTCATGAGGAACTGTAAACTCATTGTTGGAAATATCTAGAATTATAATCTTTGCTACAGGATTTGTTAAGAAGGCATTGTCACTAAAAAGCACAATGTCAAAATCCTTTTAGAAAAAAACCTTTTTTAAACTTAAAAAGAAAGTGCACCAGAGGTGCAGAAGAACATCATTTTCTACATAGTGTAGGAAACATTTCCTAAAGATTAAGATTTTCTCTTTGTTTTTAAATCACTGTTAAATATTTGATTTTAAACAAACACAACACATAATTTATCATATGCAAACTAGAGTCCATAATTCAAGCTTCACCACTATAAGTAATTAGGTGCTTTATGCATTTGAATCATACATCACTCTGTGAGATCTAATGAAAATGAGCAAAATCAAACTGACCTAGATTTTGGAGTTGCTATACTGCTTTTAACTAAAACTTGTGTTTAATCTGATAAAATGTGAATTAGGCCATGAAGTAGATTAGAAACTCAGGGGAAAAGGCAGTAAGTTTTACAATTTTTGAAAATCAAAAATTCAGGATCCCCTAAAAATCAAACTAACGTCTTCATGTGTTAATTATAGTGTGATACTGTGCATCTTCTACACTTCCTCTGTATAGCTTATCATATATTTTTCTCCTGCAGGACAAGCAAATTTCTAAGCTACCAGGCTTCTCGCAGATTCCTAAGGAGCAAACTCTGAATTTATCATCTTCACTGCACTGAGCTTTCTTGAATAAAGAAAATCAATTGCTCCCTCCATAAGTTTATCTGTACTATCAACCCTTTGGCTGTGTTTCTTTCAGGGTGGCACTTTACATTAAGAATTGGAGCAAATTTCTCATTCCAGATCATACTACTTGTAAAACACAAGTGCTAGGCATAGTGGACAACATCCTTTGCAGCACAGTATCTATCCCCTCTCTTCTTAGTAACAGGAACTTGAATTCCCTTGAGGGGAAATGCTGCAGCCTCATCCTAAACCATGGGATTGGATGGAACTGACCTCATTCCCACTAAAACAGTGGTAGACTTTCATGAGCTTAAATTAATTAGCCTATATCATCCACCTGCTCAAGAGACTGGTTCAGAGGTACACGTGTAACTCAGTAAGAGCTGGTGGGACAGGAAACTGCTGGAAAGGACAAGTTTTCACAAATCCTCCAGACTTAGTAAGATGAGCAAGTGAGGCTCTATCATGTAACCTTGAAGGCAAGTAGGAGTAGGCTGAGGATGAAGCTGTCAAGTGGATCCAGGCAGCACTCAGCTCTGGCACAGAAGAGACAAAAGTCAGCCATGAGAACCCCCAAATTCCCTTGTTCAAAAAGCCATTTAAAGTTAAGTTTTCCATCTCATGCAGCATAAAGAATGCTATACTGCATTGACAGACATCTCATGTCAGAGACTACTTATGAAGTAACATACAAAGCAAAACAGCAAATGCAGTCTTCCCCAGAGAAACAGAACAATGGACCTAATACCTCAAATCTCTGGTTGCTGACTTTCTTTCCTTTTTTGTTCCAGACAATTTTAGGTCTTGGGTCTCCGGTAGCTTGGCATATGAAAGACGCAACTCCACCAGACACCCCTGTCTGATCAACAGGAGTTCGTGTAAACCTTGGAGGTGCTGAAATAAAAAGGAAATAAACATCAGCTACATGGAAAATAGAAACATAGACTATTCCTCCGCTGCTGCTCCCTGCACACTCCTCAACTCTGTTTCCACCTAGCCATACAAACAAGAAAGTACCGGGGTTGCAAAATTAGAAAAGTACATTTTACTTCTGAGGGTAGTTTAAAGGAGAAGGAGGCAACTTTCTGGTCAAGTTATCTGTTAGCACTTTTATTGCTGAAATCTGTATTAAGGCAAAGACCCAATAACATCCGAAAGCAACATTACACATTAATTTTTATTACCAGTATTAAAAAAATCCAATTTGTCCTCTGTAACAAAATGAGTGCATCAATCAAAGTGAGTAAAATTTTAGCTCCTTGCTTTGATGCCACTATCAGGACCCCGCCAGAAAGCAGCCTTGCCACTGCTGAGCTATTAAAATTAGTGACATTTAAGCGAAATTCTAGGAAATTTAAAAGAGACAAGAAATATAGCCCTGAATTAAACGTTTGGCAAGAAATAGAAATAGTGGAAAATGGTAAAGTGACTTTCTAACCCCAATATTGTGGGATGCCTTACTGGAAATTTAATTCCACAACTCGCGAAAAAGATGAGCAAAGAAGCCTCTAAAGTCATAGAAAAAAATTATTTCAAAAAAGATATAGACGTACAGATGACTAAGGTTAAAAGGTTAGAAGTTGGAAGCATTTAAATGCCTCCCATCTCTTTTAAATACCCTTAATATTCACTCTCTCTCCTTTAAAAACTTATTTCCCAGCTTGCATTTCAAAATCTAGAAATCCATCACACAAGAATGATATAAAATGTAGATGAACATTTATGTACAAAAATATTCAGCACATCATTTGTTTAGCAAATTATGAGGACTTCAATATTAAAAAATACAGAAACTGCTGGTGAAACTATGACATAGCAATGTAGCTTCATTCAAACAGCAAATGTTATTTTTCTAAGGTTTTTATCATATGACATGAGATACACTCATGAGTCTATGATAGGCTATGAAAATATAACAGAAAAAAATATATAAGGGCATCAAATAATAAAGAATGTGCAGGCATATATAAGATTGGACAAAGTGTACTAAAATTCTACTAGCAGTGGTTTGAGAGATGGTATTCGAAATTTTTCTACTTCTTGAGTTTTTATAGCAATGTTATAGTTGGAAACGTTTAAAAACCCCCAAATATTTTACTTTTTATTTTGTTTTCCATTTTCTGATCCCTGTTGCAGATTTCCTCTTTTCTACTACTGCTTTCATAGTTATACAAGTATGTCATTGAAGAATGGTTGTAAGTGTTGATGGCTAACATCTATTTTGAAAACAGTCTCGTGATTTTTATAAAGGCGAAAACGACACTAAAGCCCACCCCTGTCTACTCCCCACGACTGTTTTTTCTGCATTCAGTCAAGCTTCCCACAGGATGCTCCTCCTGGCCTCATGATGTGTTCTAACTGTGAGTTTGGTTTCCCTACAGTCAGGGAAGCTGGGTTCCCATCCTAGCTCCACCATTACTTTGGAAGAAAAACATAAAGACACCTAACTTTACAGTTTCCTATGTGCAAAAATAAGAAATCGGAAGTAAATTATTTCTGCTGAAATCTCTTCCAGCTCTAAGATATTTCACTTTAATATCTCAATTCAACAAGGAGAGAAATTTGGTAGAGGGAGAGAGGGAGGGCATCTTGGCCTCAGCAAACTCAACTTGTTGGTGACAGTGGAACTGGGGGGAACCCAGGGATCCGTTTATATTCAGAAATGTGAGCAAAGCAAGCAGGCTCTACAACAAGCCTGTGGGACATCAAACCCTACAACATCTCTAAGTAGCAGTACAAACTACATAATTATCAGAAACTGGGAGACGTACTCAAAATGATCTGAAATTGACTAACAGTGAGAGGAATAAAAAACACTGTATACTGATGTTACCTGCCTGGAAACAAACAGAACAGATATTAGAAGTTTTTATATTTTTCTCTTTCTGCTTTTCCAACAACTCAAATTGATAATAACCATTCACATGTCAGCAGCTAATAAACAAATTATAATTACTCAATTAAATTCCTAAGGAATTTCTCTCAGAAAACAAAGTGCATTATGCTGCCATACGAAATGCTATGACGCTGTCATTTTTAGGTTCCTTTCTTCTCTTGCCCATATTCCATAAACTGTCAACCCTAAACAAACATCCATTTCAACAAGTAGCCATCCATTTCATTTCTGTTTTGAAAAACTTAGTTCAAGAAATGTGTACAGGGAGTGAAGGGATATCATATAAAATTACTAATCAGAAATTAAATAAACCTAGACAGAAGACTCCATTTTCCCCACACTAGAGTTTGTTACTAAGGAATAACAACCAGTTTCTCACCCCAAAGGATAAACGAAAGCTGGAGATTCTGACAATTTGCAACTGGGCACTGGCTCATTGGGCTAGGCGTGCCTATGTCCTATTGCGACAACTGTAGCTCATTTGGAAGGAGCAGTAGCCAAGAACACTGAAGAAGTCAAATTAAATAAATGAAGAAATTTTATCTCTAAATGGAAAATAATGCAGGCAAGTTCATATAAACATGGAGAATGAATGTGGGTTTTCCAGGTGTGTTTCTGATTGACCTGCATTATCTGATCATACATTTAAGTTTTCTTGCAAAGATCAACAACAGTGAGAATCAGCCAAGGATGTGACTACCAGATGCTACAGGAAGGATTTTATTTCCAAAGTAAGGAAATTAGCCTGTTATACTGTGGAAATTTTATTGAAATAATCAGAATCTGTTTCAAGATCTAGGACCATATTTCTAATTCATACCAACTACCACTGCAGTGACGCAGTCTTTCTCCATAAAGAAAAAAATATCCTGCAAAGAGTCCTTAAATGCATTCTTTAAAAACAAAACAAAATTGAAATTGATTGTCCTATATTTTTTCAAAAGGCATTTCAAGTGCTTGTGCACACAGAGCTTTTTCCTTCTTTCTTTTTTTACTGAAAGACACCGGCCTTCACAAACATGAAAAATCATAAATTTCTTAGACGGATTTGATGTCAAATTTTCTACATTTGCCCACAAAATCCAATCCTCAGAAAGGATAAATGTCATCATCCTGTGATACAAAGTAAGATTCTGGTTAACACAGTCAAACCCTTTCAGTAAGCACGTGTGTTGCATAAATGATGACCTTGCTGGTCAAATTCTCAGACTGATACTGTCAATGACAGGCAGTCAGCCAAAGGAAAGATATGAGATAGAGAGAAACTAAATTTAATAACTCCAACAAACGCTCAAGGCAAGTAAAAATCTCTATTCTCAGAGGAGTACACAATACACAGCAACCTACTTCCCCTTTCTCTGTATCTCAGCTTAATAAAAGGAACCAGACGAATCCTTTGCCTTCTTTTGATATAGACACTGCCCAAATTTAAGTCATATTCTGAAGATGGGAAGAAAGAGAACAGAATCCAAGCAGAGCATAAAACCAAGACATCTACTGAAATATCAGAAACTATGGTAGTGTCATATCTGAATAATAAAAGTCCTCAATTTTATTCCTTGAGATACAAACATTAATGTTATACTTGGTATAAGAAAAAAAAGATACATTAATATTATAAAGATGGGGAGAAAGGCATTTGGAATTTCCAGTCACCAGTAGTTAGTGAGGTGTTGCTGCTATCAATGTAGTGAACTGCCATTACTATCCACCTGAAGCTGCCAACGCTGCACTTTGCAAAATGCATTTCTGCTCAAGCTGATTTTGACAAGTACAGAGTATGATCTTTTATTAAACTAATGTCAGGCACTGCAGAGGTCAAATTACTATTCAACACTGAAAGTCTATTTTCTAAATGGAAAGCAGAAAGGCTAAACATGCATATGAGTCAGAACAGAAGCATGGCTGATATTCTAGAATGTGTCTGCCATGCTCACTTGATGTTTTCAAAGATGTATGCATTCTTGGGATGCATTCACTGAGCAGACAGTAGCTCCAGGAATTTAGGAGATTAGTATTTTCTACACAGCTCAAGAAGAGGAAGCCACAAGCTATAGGTTGGTTTTTGCCTTTCAGAAGTTAGCCTGTTTCTTAAAGTATAGCCAATACACAGTACCCTTGCAAGTAATGGTTGTAATATCTTCATGCCAAATGATGTTTCAAATTGCTACGTTCTCTGACAACAAGGTGATGAGCCCAATGTGCACTTACGGTTATTAGATTTAGGGGAGAGAGCCAACCAAGAACAGTAAACTGTCTCTGCCTATCCTTAACATACTGCTCTACTGAAGACAAAATCATCCCTCTAGTACGCTACATTAAATAGAGCTAGACATTAATGCAACAGAACCATTGATGGCTACCAGTAACGTCCATGGAAGAAGAATTTATGAGAAATTCTTAAACGTTAAGAAGACAAATCAGGTTTGAGGTAACTTGATTGGCCAACTGAGGATCACTTAAAATAGAACTATAGGAAAGATCATTTGCTACGAAAGAGAAGAAGTGGGGGATGCCATTTGTCTAATTCTAATTAATGAGCTGCTTCTGTGGACATCAAGAAAATATGTCACATGGGGAACAAAACTAACAGCATGTAAGTAATTGGTTTTGTTTCTTTGAGCTGATTAACATTTCCTTAAATAGAGAGCTGGGTTTTTAAAAGGGTATTTGTCATAACAATGTACTTAAAATCTTGAAAGGGGAAGGTTAATAATGCCATTAAATTACACTAAGGCAGGGCACGAGAGAATGCATGGTAAGAACATGCAGGCAGCCCTGTCTTCAGGTATCTGCATCCTCCCTAAAAGGGTCTGTAGGGTTGACAGCACTGACCAGGAACCCCTCTCTGACCTTTGTGTCTCTGTGTCAGCATGAGGGATCTAAAGGAAAGCTCAGGAGCCAGGCTTCTGCAGGAAAGTGGAAAACACAAAACACAGCAAACAAGGGGAATGCCTGATCTGAAGGTCTGGGGTGAAGAGCTATCACGGGGCTTTAA